AAGTACATTTCTGGAGTGTTAAAGATTAAAAGAAAAAACAACAAGAACCGTACAGAACCGAAAACCGTGACCCTAAAACCGTGACCCTAAAACCGTGATACAAACCGAACCGTGGGTTTTGTGAACCGTGCCACCCCTAATACACATACATTACATCGCTCTGCGGTTCTACGTGCATTACGATTTATCACCTGTTACATCAATGCGCAGATCCACACTACGTGTCATCCATATCATAACGCAATGTAAAATTGTTCCTCAGTGCCACCAAAATGAAAAGTATTAAGTATGACAGTCAAAATGGTTAGATACACTATATTACCAAAAATATTGGGACACCTGAATTCAATGATTTGGAGGGGTGTCTCAATATTTTTGGTAAGACCCAGATGGATAAAACTGTATAGATAATGGATAATGTATATTGCCAGTATGTCAGTGTAAACATGCTCCTGAGCAATTTTACATTGCATTATGATATGGATGATATGTAGCGTGGATCTGCGCATTGATGTGACAGGTGAAAGCTTCGATCGCGTTGCGGAACCTGAAAATATTAACCTATTTCAAAGATATTTTGCACGTTTAATAACAAGGTCCGGTGACAACTTTTCCGCACTATTGGAAATTGCTATTGGAAATTTAGATTTTTTTCACCCCACCTTAATATCCACACATATGTCATCAAGTGACAATACCAGGGCGATATCACCCTAAAGGTTTGTCTTTAAACCGTAACACTGGTACCACAGTAATATTTTAGTTTTCCGGCTGTAATATTTTACTACAACAAGCATGCAAACACCTCTTGGTCTTTCAGATTTATTTATGGGTGAATTTTAATTAAGATTTCAATGTTGGTGTGTGGACTTCACCTTCAATAGCCCAGCTGTCTTGTTTACAATCACTGATGGTGAATGAACACAGTGCAATTATTAATAAATACGTTTAAAAAGACATATGAATATTACATAGTGTGCATTGTCCTGCATAGTTTAATGCTTAAAGCATGCTTAACTGTACATGTCTGTATGTTTTAGGCTTATACTTCAAACAGACACAGTACAATTATTAGTAATGGAAAAGTATTGCGAGAGAACTCAGAACTATTTCAAAAAATATTTTCCCACCCAGACATATCTTAGGGGCTCTGTATATTACAACTGATCTGTAGAAAAAAAAGAAATCACAAGTACATCACTATCCACAAATATGTATTTTTGAGATGTGTAAAGTCGTATCCACAAAATATATCCAGTTCCTACTACAGCTGATCTGTAGAAAAAAATCCATATTATTATTATTGAGTTCCATTTATATTGTGACTTTCACAATCCCATGGTTGCTTTATACAAAAATAAAAATAAAAATCAGTATTCGGTATAGGAGAAGAAAGACACGTTCAAAAAATGTCTTTAATTCTGATTTGAAAGAAGAACAGTCACGGAGTGATTGTGGGAGAGAGTTCAATAGTTTGGGGGGCATGGCACTGAAGGGTCTGCCACCCATGGTGGAAAGTCTGGTGTGTGGAACAGCAAGGAGATTATTATTGGAGGATCTGTGGGAGCGAGAGGGTGAGTAGGGAGTCAATAGTTCACTGAGGTAGCAAGGAGCGAGATAATGCAGAGCTTTATAACTGAGAAGCAATATCTTGAATTTGAACTGAGACCGAACTGGTAACCAGTGTAACTGTATAAAATGTAATACTAACTTGAAATAGTGAAGAGTATA